ATAACTTTTAGAAAAAATTTAATTAGGCCTCCCATAATCTACCCAAAGACAAATAATTTAATTATCTTTTCATAGACATGCACCTTGCTAAAATTAAACTTCCGAGTAAAAAGTTATGCCCATTTTAGTAAAGTTCTTTCGACGGGACCTCACGACGGATCCAACGACTGGGCATTGGGTGGACGACTGACCGTAAGTCCTGTCCGTCGTCATGCTCGACATCAACCTTTCGAGGGGTCTTTTTGACCTTTCCTTCTCCGTTTAAACCCTAAGTTACGTTGTTTTGAGCCTAAATCATCAGATTTTAGTCAGTTTAATGCTAGAAAAATAATTAAAACATATCTAAGTCAAATCATTAAATCAAAACTTGGAAAATTAGATGCAAGGGAGGAGAAAAAAATCTCAAGAACCATAGTTCAAGAACCCCACAAGCTCCAGAAGTTCCAGCCCCAAAACTTAAGTATTATTCCGTGGATTTCATCACCAGGTATGTGGGATTGCACTAGTGGGTTCCTTTCACCCATTGGGTCCTTAGTTTCAGTCAGTTCTTCATTCTCTTATCATGGTTAAACCTAGGGTTTCCATAATATTGTTAGAATCCGGATCTGAATATAGCAGACTTTGTGAGTAAGTGCCCTAATTTCTAGAAAGTAAAGGTAGAACATCACAAACAAGGAGTTATGACTCAAGAGATCAATATTCCTACTAGGAAGTGGGATGTGATAAATATGGTTTCATCACAGGGTTACCTCGTACTCGTAGACAACATGACTTAATATGGGTGACAGTTGATAGGATGACTCAGTCTTCTCGCTTTTTGTCGGTCAAGACTGCATATTCATGAGAAGACTATGCCAAGCATTACCTTAAATTATGAGGTCCTCACTTTACCTCTCATTTTAGGAAGTCATTTGAAAAAGGTCTTGGTACTCAAGTTAACCTTAGTACACCATTTCATCAACATACAGTCGGGAAGGCAGAGCGTACCATTCAGACCTTAGAGGATATGTTGAGAGCTTGTGTGATCGATTTTAAAGGCAGTTGGGATTATCACCTTCCTCTCATTTAGTTTGCCTACAATAATAGCAACTATTTAAGTATTCATATGTCCTCTATTAAGGTTTTATATGGGTGTAGATGTAGATTTCCTATTTGTTTGTTTGAAGTAGGTGAAACAACTTTGTTAAGGCCAAATTAAGTCCTTGATGCTATGGAGAAAGTGCAACTCATTAGAGATAGACTTAAGACAACCCAAAGTCATTAGAAATCTTATTCAGATGTAAGGAGAAGGGAACTAGAGTTCCATGTTAATGATTGAGTTTATCTAAAAGCCTCACCTATGAAAGGGGTGATGATATTTGCAAAGAAAGGGAAACACAATCCTTGATATGTAGTCCCTTACAAGATCTTGAAAAGGATTGACAAGTTAGTATATGAGTTAGAGTTGCCAGCAAAATTAGCGGCAGTGTACCCGGTCTTCCACATCTTACTCTTGAAGAAGTGCGTGGGCGACCCAGCCTCTATAGTGCCATTAGAGAGTCTTGCGGTGAAAAATAGTCTTTTCTATGAGGATGTACTAGTTGAGATTGTTGACCGTCAGGTTAGAAGGTTGAGAAAAAAATAAGTCCGTTCATTCAAGGTTTTTTGGAGGAGTCAGTCCGTAGAGGGAGCTACTTGGGATGCAGAAGAAGCAACAAAAGCCAAGTATCCTTATCTTTTTCCTTCCGATTCCACTCCATCTTGAGGTAATAGTTCCTCTTTAGTTTTAAAGTCATTCATGCATAAATTCAGTTTTAGAATCATGTTCCCTCAGTTTGTACTTTCATTTTTAGCATAATTGCATGTGGTTAGAACTCAATTCAGTCAGAACTCAGTTCTCAGTGTTTGGTAATGGGGTTTGCATCTCTCTCCCTCTATTTCAGCTAGTTTAGTCTTTATTCAAGGACGAATGTTCCAAAGCGGGAGATTATGTAACATCCCATAGCCAAAACAGACCAAAAACTAGTTTTTCAAAAAAATTTGTAGGTGCTACCAACGGCGGAATCAATGGATCGTAGACTTAAACACGGTCCGTCCTGTACAACCGTCGATGGGATCAGAAAATCCTAAAAATTTCAGCCTAGAAAAACTGGTTATGTCTTGGACGACTGACGGACATGCGGTTCGTAGGTAAAACGACGGTCTGTAGTCCATGACCGTCGATCAAGACTCCCAGCATCCACTATCTTACAAGATCTATGGATGACCAACATGGTTCGTAATTGGACCTAAGGCCCGTAGGTCTTACCATAGGTGGAAAATTTTCAGCTAGTTAAAGGAAATTCTGTTGGGTCAACTTAAAATTATCATAACTCTTAGCACAAATTGAATTAGGTCTCCCATGACCTACCCACATATAGATAATTGAATCATATTTCCAAATATACAGACCTAGCTTAAATCAGTACTCCGAGAAAAAATTTATGCCCATTTTAGTGAAGGTCTGTCGAATAGTCCCTTAAGGAGGACCCAATGACGGGGCATTGGGCGTATGAAAGACCGTTAGTCCTGGCCGTCGTGAGGCCCGACAACAATCTTTCCAGGGGTCTTACCTACTATGCCTTTCACCGGGTGAGCAAAAAGTAGTTACCTTAAGCCCACCTTTCCCTCTCCATTTAAACTCTATGTTACGTCATTTTTACCATAAATCATCAGGTTTTAGTCTGTTTACAACTAGACACGTAATTAAAACATATCCAAGTCTAATCATTAAATCAAAACATTGAAGATTAGAAGCAAGAGAGGAGAAAAAATGCTCAAGAATTGTAGTTTAAGAACGCCACAAGGTCCAGCAGTTCCCACCCCAAAACATAAGTATTTTTTTGTGAATTTCATCACCAGGTATGTGGGATTTCACTAGTGGGTTCCTTTAACCCATTGGGTCCTTAGTTTAAGTCAGTTCTTGATTCTTTTATCATGGTTAAACCTAGGGTTTCTATAACATTGTTAGAACAATGTATTTCATTAGTTCTCGATTTATCATGCTAGGTCATATATTTCATTCACTTTAGATATACATGCCTCAGTTATAAATGCCTAATTACCAGATTAATTGTTGCATTCTAAGTTTGCATGTTCAGTTTTGAGCTATCAAGTAATTATAGAAATTCAGATATAATCAGTTAATTTATAGAATTCATTGGGAGTAGCATATTATCGAGTTGGAGTAGGTTTTAGCGTACTCAATAGTCCCAGAACTACTAGACATATAGGTTGTAAGTCCTCTATGTGGGCAATAAGTTTAGTGATCACCCCGGCATGCCTTTGTACCTTTGGCAGGGTATATTGGGTCCTCTTAATGGGGCGTATACATCGGACTCCACTTTGGCTCATGTGGTTTTTATGATCTGTTATAAGTTGCTCCCACAGTTCAGTCAGACTCTCTGTATTCATCATTTATCAGTATATTCAGTATTCAGTTTCAGCATATTATGAATATGTCAATTAATCCAGTAAGCTCAGAAATCAGCACATTGCGTTCAGATTGTTATACTTGTATTTGTTCTTGTTCAAGTATGTTTTACTTCAACTTTACTATATCCTACATGCTGAATACCTTTCATGTACTGACGCATAGGTGCACAACATCTTCTCGTTATGTAGGTTCAGGTTCTCAGCATTCAGATCACACATACATAGATTTTTTCGATCTCCAGTTCAGCAGATTCGGACCTCATTCTCCAAGGACAACAGTCATGAAATTCATTAAAGTCTTTTGTAATTTAATTTTAGTTTTTGCTAGATTTGGTTGGGGCTTGTCCCAATATTTCTAGTAAAGTTTGGAGGCTATTTTCAGACATAGTTACATTCCACTTAGTATTGAGTTAATATTTCTTTTGTATTAAACTCATTGTTTTCAAATATCTCAGTTCTAGATTGTGGGTATTCCCCATCTTTTTATTTTAAATATGATTTAGCTCTCGCAATAGTTTATTATCTTTAGTATGCTCATGGTCATGCCAACAGAGTTAGGATCACTTGTGGTCCTAGGTTCCGTGTCCGCGTTTCTGGGTAGCTCCGGGTGTGTCAATTTCAATGGTGTTTTGTTTGATAGAATGTGAAAGAAGATAACTGGTTTTAGTTAGTGCTTGGTCGGAGAAGTGAAAAAAAGAAGAGCTGGGAGCGTCTGGAGAGAGTTGCTGGCAGCAGCTATGAACAAGATGATAGTTGGGTCTACTGACTGTTTTCGTGTAGTTCTCCTATGGAAAAATGGGAAAAACAAAATGCTGTTTTGAAGCTCGCCGGAAAAGTGTTCGGTGAGGGTGGTGGCCAAAAAATATAAATATCAAAGAATTTCTTTATACATAGAATCTAAAAATTATCCCCTAAATCTTTATTCGTCACGTAAAACCCAATGAACCAACTATTTAATATATTGGGAGTTAATAACTATGGGTCCTGTTATGGGCTTCAAGTATGACCTAAAAATTATCGATTGATAAAATATTTATGTGTGTAAATTGTATTTGAATTTGACAGAACTTTTAGATTGCGCAGAATATCAAAATTAATATTAAGAATATAACAATGAACAAAAATGAATATAAAAAATGTAATAAACATAATTATTAAATGTAAAAATGTAATGTGACATAAATAAGGATTTTAAAACAAATGATCAAATATTTCAACGTCAAGCTATGACAGAATGATTTAAACATATCAATCGACAAAACCCGAATACTTTAAGAAAGAGGATGATTATCAAAAAATTTCATTAAGTGACAAAAAAAATATTTTGAATTATTTAAAATAAAACACTCATAATGTATTAATTTTAAACCTATCGGATCGAAATTTGGTGTCAACAACTTTCCTCTTTGTTTGATTAGTATCGATGAAGGAGATCCTAGTCAAACAAAGTTGACGAACCCAAATTTAGTTTGCTAAACATTGAACAAAAATTGAGACATTAATAGAGCTGTTGAGAATGACTCCACGTCTGTCGACAGGGCTACAAATAATGAACAAAAGACAAACATTAATTGTAAACTTACAATATTCACATACCTTTGATATTACTTTCAAAATATCACAATGAAGGTGGTGTACCTTTTTGAAAGAAGGATGATGCGAATAACATGTCATATTGAACGAGGCGACAACCCAACATATCTCTTTGAAAGGCGGACGACCCAACTTGAACTTAACATTCCACTTTGAACAAGGTGACAACCCAACTTATATTTTTGAAAGGCGGTCGATTGTACTTGAACTTAACATGTCATTTGAATTGAGAAGACGACCCAATTTTGTCTCTTTGAATGGTGGATGACCTGATTTCATCATAACATGTCATTTGAAGATAGATTACAACCCAATCTTGACTTTAAAGTGTCATTTTAAGGGAGATGACAACCCAATCTTTAACTTAAAGTGCCACTTAAAGGAAGATGACAATCAAATCTTGAACTTAATGTTTTTCTTGAAGGTTGTGACTACCCAACATGTCTCTTTGAAACGCGGACGACCAAATTTGAACTCAATGTGTCATTTGAAGGGAAATGAAAAGCCAATATTGAACATAATTTGTCATTTGAAGGGATATTACAACCCAACATGTCTCTTTGAAAGGCAGACGACCCAACATGTACATAACATGTCATTTGAAGGGAGATGACAACCCAACATGCCTCTTTTAAAGGAGGACGACCCAACTTGAACTTAACATGTTATTAGAATGGAGTGAAAACTTAATTTTGAACTTAGTGTGTCATTTGAAGGAAGATGACTACCCAACATATCTCTTTGAAAGGCGGACAATCCAACTTGAACATGTCATTTGAAGGGAGATGACAACCCAGCGTGTCTCTTTGTAAAGAAGACGACCCCACTTGAACTTAACATGCCACTTAGAATTACGTAACAACCTTACATGTCTCTTTGAAAGGCGGACGACCCAACTTGAACTCAACCTGTCATTTGAAGGAAGATGACGACCCAATCTTGTCTCTTTGAAAGGCGGATGACCCAATTTGAACTCAACGTGTAATTTGAAGGGAGATGACAACGAAATCTTGAACTTAATGTTTCATTTGAAGGGAGAACCCAACTTGAACTTAACATGTCATTTGAATGGAGATGACAATCCAACATATCTCTTTGAAAAGAGGACATCCCAACTTGAACATGTCTTTTTATGGGAGATGACAACCCAACGTGTCTCTTGGAAAGGCGGACGAGCCAATTTGAACTTAACATGAATGATGTATTACAAAATCTGCAATATCAATGTTAGTAGAAAATATGACATAAATTATGCAAACATGACCATTGGACAATGTATTAACCAACGTGACGATTTAACCTTAATAACATCATGAATTAAATAAAATGTCAATTTAATAAGAAATAACACAATAAAAAGTGTCATATTGATCAGCATGACAAACCAATTTGAAAAGAATTAATTTATTTTAGATAATAAATTAATTTCTAAAAGATATCATTTTGAAAGGTATGACGACATAAAAATGTCATTGAAGAGTATGACTATCCAAATTCAAGGAAATGTCATTTTGAAGGTATGACAATTAAAAAAAAAGTTAGATGACCCCAAAAAATGTCATTTTGAAGGATATGATGATCCAAAAAATAAAAGACGTCATTTTAAAGGGTATGACTACTAAAATTAAAAAAGATGTAAGTTAGAAGTGTATGACTACCGAAAAATAAAAAGATTTCATTTTGAATGGTATGACTACCGAAAAATAAAAAGATATCATTTTGAAGGGTATGAGTACCAAAAATGCAATATGAAATTTGAAATGGTCCACAAAGTTATTTGGACGAATATCAACAATGAAACGGTACAGAAAGTTGGTATGGATAAAATATCAAATAAAACAGTACACATAGTTGTTATGAAAAAATATGGGACATAAATATATATTGATAATAATTAGAAAGGTATGACAACAAAAAATAAAAAGATGTCATTTTGAAAGGTATGATACCGAAAATGCAATTTGAACTTCAAAACAGTGCACAAATGTTTTTGGACAAATATCAACTATGAAACAGCCAACAAAGTTGTCTAGACCAACATGGAGCATAAAAATAAAATGATGTCAACGTGAACAGTATGACAACCAAAAATAAAAAAAATGTCGTTTTGAAGAGTATGACTACCGAAAATGCAATTTTAACTATCAGTTGGTCCACAAACATATTTGGATAGATATCAACAGTGCAACAGTCTACAGAGTTGTTTGGACAAAAATCATAAAAGTGGATAATTATTTTTATTTTATTAACAATGAAACATACTTTATCTTGGTTAGCACTAACAGAAGTATTATACAAATATCTCGCAATTCTAATTTTTTACTGACATTGATTTCAAGGCAATTCCTATAGATTCAAGTGGTACCTCAAATGTTGTTAAGTAACGACAAAATTTGTTCAGCTTGCTTCAGACAAAGTCTTTGAACTAGACCTATCATCATATTTCAAGTGTCCTCACAAGAAAGAAATTTTTAATTTTTGCACATTTAAAGTGTTTTGATTTGGGAGCATCTGAAAAAAATACTCATACTCATAAAAATGTTCAACGCATGCAATTGTGATACCATATGCTTGAACTTAATGTAAATCTCCACTAGTGTCATTTGAATTGAAATCATGTAGGGCTTGTTAATTGGTTGTAATGTAGGCTTAGGGACGGGTAGGATAGTCATTTGGGATAAAAGTGACTTATTTCCTTCTTGAGCATTGCAACTAAATAGATGCTTTCAACATTTATTACGCTTTTAGCGTTTGATTCTCTTTGTTGTCCCTTCCTTATGAACTTTTGAATTCTTTGGAACCTTTTTTGTCTGAGTTTTTCCCTTTTGAATTCTCTTCTTTTTCTTTGGAGTGTTTATTTTCTTTTCTTCAAATTCTGTTCGCTAAAACTTATGGGGAATTTTGAACACTTGCTTTTTTTTTCGTTCTTTTGAAGTCATTTTTGTTTTCTTGACATTCACGATATTTGATAACTTTTGTGTTTTACAAAATGGACTTTCAATTTTCTCTTATAACTTGCATGCCTTCAGTGTACCCGAGAAAATCAGGCAAAAAGAGAGATAGTGCGTAACAACACTTACAAAGGGTATACTCTAAGATGTGGTAAAAATAAAAGGCTTAAGGCTCAAAGTAGGACACACTAAGGGTATATGTCATTTTGTAGGCTTTGAAAGGCTCAAAAATCTCAAAGAAGGCTTATAATAAGTTTTCAAATAAAATATTACTAAGAATTTCGCCTCCATAACGTTTAGGCCAAGTTCTAGATCAACAATGCAAAATAATTGAATTTATTTCAAAATTCACCACACAATGCACATGAAACAATAAATCTTATTTTGTTCTAATCTTGAATGTATATAAGAGAATTTTACAAGTGTGAAAAAAGTATGAACGAGAGGAACAAAAAAGATTCTATGGTTTTAAAAGAAATCAGTCTTCTTTACTGTATAAATTATTTTCACATGCACACTTGAATTGTGTTGACAGTAACAAAGTCAAAAAATAATTTCAAAAATATAAATATTAAAAGAATAAAAAATAAGAAGATCTTTTGAATAAATAATATTGAACTCAATAAGGGATGCCTACAGTTCTCATTGATGAGAATCAGGTTTGCGTAGGTCTTCCAGAAATGACATAAAATCTATAAACAACAAATTAATTTTTGAAAGGAAAAATATTGAAAATAAATAACCAATGAGCCACATTGAAATTCGGGCAACCTAAACTTAACAAAAAATATTTCTTATTAATCAAAAAAACTGAACAAGAACGAAGAAATCAGTGAATCACATTGAAGGGCGGACAACCCAAATTTAACCAAAGCCACAAAAAAAAAGAAATTAATGAGTCACGTTGAAGAGCGGACTACCCAAACTTAACAAAAACAAAACCAAAAGAATTATTAATTAATGAAAAAATGGCAAAACTAAAAAAATTGAATGAGTCATATTGGAGGGCGGACAACCCAACTTAAAAAATGTCAATTAATGTAACATTTTCAATGGAATATAATAAAAATCAAAGATATACAATGAATGTGACATCATTTAAAAAAATTAATGAAAAAATATACAAACCAACTCGGAGTGAAGCCTCAAAAATTCTGAATGTCTGTGTACAAACTTGGTGAAAGTTTTAAATACATTCCATAAAAATTTTGTCCCTTTTTCGGCTTCAACAACCTCCGATATTTAATATTGTACTATCTCGTTTGTAAAAATTCTTGGAGACCTCCTCAAAAAAGTTTTCCCCAGTTTCCGTTTTCATATTTTTGAAAGCTTACAGGGAAGATGACAGAGCCCTTGTAACGATTACGTATCCCGTTGAAAAAGGAATCAAGTTAATAGTAGTTGCAAAAGATTGTAACTCGAATAGAGAATATACTGAGATAATAAAGGTTCTAAAATTAGCTGACCAAGAATGATTTTGAATGAGTGGGAACCCAAGGGGATGACGAACCAATAAATTTTTGATCATTCCAAAAATGGTTGAGTATAGAAAAGTCCGGCCTGCAGTTCCGCAAAACCGTTCATTAATATATCATACATATATTGTTGGGAAAAAAACCCATGAATGTAGTGACAATATACAATAAATTGAATGAATATTGAGTAAAATATGCAAATAAAAAAAAATATACAAGATATAATGAATAACACAATAAAAGAATTATATCCACAATATGAAAAAATAAACCCACAATGGTTAGAACCTCTATATCCCTAGCAGAGTCACCATTTGGTTGACATCATTTGAATTAGGATCAACATCGCGGTGACTCAATTAAAAAAAGAATTTGAACGAAAGAATTTTTAAAAACGAGTAAAAGGGGATTAAGGGGGGTAAAAATGAGTTTAAAGAGATTAAAGGGAAAAGGGAGTCCCCACCTAATTTTTTAGGAAAACTAGGAAACAATTTAATAAATTAATTTTAAAGATAGTTTACGAAGCCAAATTGATTTTAGCTAAGGGGTTCATATTATTCCAAAGGGAAGGGATTAGGCATCCTTCGGAACCCACAAATGTGGTTCCCGACAGAGTTAATTTTTTAAAATTGAGCTGAAAATTAAATTAAAGTACAAATATAATGAACATGCAATATAAACAATAAAAATAAAATAATTATATCGAGCCATGGTTTTCGTAACATCGATATATACAAAATAATTAATTGAAAAATATAATTCAAAATCCTTTCAAATAGCTTCAAGGAAGCAACTGTTGGGTAAGTAAACACACTTAATGAAAGTCTTCAATATTTGAAAATCTACGCTAATTTCTTCATCGACCAATTTCAACGTATAAAATATGTAAACTTAAACTAAAATTCCGTATTTTTAAAATGTGGAGGCCTCCAAAACCGACGGAGAGATTTTCTCATTGGCCATTTTACCATTTTGAACAAACAAGTTATATGAAGTTAAACGGAAAAATTCCATCTTTTAATATTTTGTAGGCCTCCAAAGCAGACAGAGTGTTTTTTCATTGTCCATTTCTAACAACTAAAATAAATAAACTTACATTAAATTTTCGTATTTTAAAATGGAAAGGCCTCTAAAATCGACGGAGAGTTTTTTCATTGATCAAATTTAATAAATATATAATATGAACTAAAAAATAATTTTTTTACCCAAAGAACAAAGAAGTGCACAGTAGCAATGACAAACAATAAGTGTGAATTGTGAATTGGTGATCTTCTTAATTTGAGAAATAAAGAAATAAACATAAACATATAATAGTAATTAAAAGAACATGGAAATTAACAAAACTAAACAATTTATTAGTACAATTAAGAACATTTAATATAAGTTCACTAGTAATATTGAAATCTAATGAAACGAAGATGATAAAATAACAAATAAATACAACAACTAATGAATGGTTTGAATAGAGATTTTAATAACATAAACAAATAGTGAATAAGCAGAGCAAAAAATAACTCGGTTAGCGTTATAGAGGTTGGAAAATTCAAATAAATTAATAATAATTAATTAAAAAAAGCAAAATTAACTTATAACATGGTATCGGCAGTAACAAATAAATATATCTATTAATTATAACAAATAGTGATAATACGAAAATAATATCAACCAAGAAACAATAGTGAATAGTCAAAGTAATAATGAAGTCAAAAGAAGTGGAATAACGATATAACTATGAATAAACATATCTAAATGACATTCCAAATGAGATGATTAATGAAAAATTATTATTAACAAAAGATAAATAAAAACAACAATAATATTGAAGACAACATAATCAAGTACAAATAGATAATATAGGGTTCATAGACCAAATTTCTAAACAAAATCAATTGCAATTATAAAGAGACAATACCAGCAAAATCCTTAAATAATATTAGAAACTTTTGAATGGTAAAAAAAATATGCTAAAATGAATTAAATCAAAGCATTATGCAAAAATATTTTAATATGGAATGATATTAACTCATAAATATAAATGGACCCAAATATATAAACAAACAAAAAGTAAGAAAGACAATGAGAAGTGTAGAAGAACACCTTGGTAAAAAAGGATGACAGAGAGCTCTCTCAATCTCGATTTCGCTAGAGTTGGTTATTTTCTTTCGATAAGCCTCAAAGCTCTCTTCAATTTTATGGAGCTAATATCTTGATGGTTCATTCACCTGCAAAGAAACTGAGATAGAAAATGTAAAGGGGAGAGGGTATGGGGTTTGTGGTGGATCTGGAAAGGGAAAAAACGGATGAACTAAGGCTTGTTTTGTGGTTGCTACTCCGGTTTTTAGACTGTGTTGATCGTTTTTTGGGGGTTGTTGGTTGAGGTTTGCGTCAGGTTTAGGAGTGGGTTGTGGTGGTTATTTCAGTGGTGTTTTGTTTGCTAATGTGGGGAAGACGATGAATGGTTTCAGTTAGAGCTTGTTTGTAGATGTGGGAATAAGAAGAGCTCGCAGTGTCTGGAGAGAGTTGCTGGCAGCAGCTATGAACAAGATGACTGTTTGGTCTAGTGACTCTTTTTGTGTGGTTCTTTGCTTAAAAAAATGGGAAAATGAAATGGGGTTTTGGGGTTCGTCCAAAAAGTCATCGGTGAGGGAGGTGGCCAAAAAATATAAAAGTGTAAGAATTTCTTAAAACATATAAACTGAAAATTATCCCCTAAATCTTTATAAACCACCCAAATTCTAATTGACCAACTATTTCATATATAGGGAATTGAAAACTATGGGCCCAACTTATGGGATTGAAGTGTGACAGAAAAATTGTTGATTGATAAAATATTTATGTATGTGAATTGTATTGGAATTCGAATGAACTTTTAGGCTGCGCAGAATATCAAAATTAATATTAACATGTAACAAGGAACAAAAAATGAATATAAAAATATAACAAATGTAATTAATTACATGTGAAAATGCAATGTAACGGATTAATTATATTATAAAAAATGAACAAATATTTGAACGTCTTGCTATGAAAAATGATTTAAACATACCAATCAATAAAAATCTTTATACTTTGAGAAAGAGGATTATTATCAACCAATTTCATTAAAATGACAAAAACATGTATTTTGAATTATTTAAATAAAATACTCAAAATGTATTAATTTTAGAACTATCGGACCAAAATTTGGTGTCAACATCACTTGCACTAGCCGCATAATGTGGTGCCACCCTGTTCTTTCTTAACATCTTTTCATTTAATCTTTACTTACCTTTCATTATTTGCTTATCGTATAACATACATACTCTCTATTGGAATTTACATTAAGGGACATTGATTCAAGGCATAGATACAAATTGTGTCACTTGTTCTTGCCTATCCTCATGTAGTCACTCTTTCTTTGCTTATTAATTATTTAGCATAAATATGCTCACTTAGAAATTTCATTTAGTGACGTTGATTTTAAGGCTTAGATGCAGCTTATCTCATTTGCACTAGCCTATAGTCATGTAGCCACTCTTTTCTTTAGATATTAACTATGAAGTCATCCTTAACACTTTCTTTTGAGTATGCTTGAGATTTGACTATACATCATTCTACACTCCCATTATGTGAATGTTCATTTCATCATATATCAATGCTCTTGGCCTTTTATTATGTTTCACACTCTTACTTAACCCTCCCGGGTTCACATCATTTCATCACATACATTTCAGGTTCGCTTACTTTTAAACGTACGTTGGACTTATGGATCTATATACAAACCATGAGGCTTCATTCATAATTCGTTTAAGTGATTTATTACTTTTCCAAGATTATGTGGTACAAAACTTATGCATCTTATATGTATGCAAAGGTATCAAGTTCGATTCCTATGGGCAGCATTCATCAATTATTTATTCACGTAAGACTTATGCATCCATACGGAATAGGACAAGGGAACCCGATTTCTTATCCCTTGAGTAAAACTTAATCTTATATTAAAATTTGATAATAGTATTTTTCAGATTTGGGGTACACTAGGTCGATCCCCATAAACCCCATATATTTTCCTTTCTTTTCTTCATTTTTGTCTTAACATTTTGGCCTTGGAGACCCAAGATTGAATCCCCTCGCCAACATTCTTTTCTTTTTGTTTCTTTACTTGATTCCTTCGTTTAGACTAAGAGGGTGTGGGATCGAACCCCCCACATCCCCATTTTATTTTTCTCATTAATTCTCTTTATTAAGCTGAGACGTTGTGGGTTTGATTCCCACATACCTCATTTTATTATTTCTTTATTTCATTTTTCTCCTCCGTCTTTAACACATCCAAGAGGATGTGGGTTCGAACCCCACATGCCTCACTTCATTTTCTTTCATTTTTTTCTCCTAACTTTTTACTTGAGCTTTACCTCATTTCGAATCCCCCTCACCTCATTTTATTATATAATGTTTTTATAGCTTGTTTATGTAAAGGTCATGGGTTCAATACCCACTGACCTCATTCATTTTTAAAAAATTTAAAACTAAAATTTTTAATAGTAAGCTGCCGAAACAAATTTTCAAAATGCTGGCAATTTGTTCACCCTTTTTGCAGTCCATTTTCTCAACTTTTAAATGTAATATTTAGGACATCTTTAGGTGAGTTTTCATGGTTACTTTTGGAAATTTGATCACCTTTTTCAGTCCATTTTCTCACCTCTTTCACGTTAAACATGAAGATTTTTCGAGTAGTTTTTATGGAGATATTTAGGTGTAATTTAAAGGTAACTTTCAGTCAAGAATTATCATTCAATTCAGCAACTTTTAACTCATTTGAACATCACGTTTTGAACATAATCACACACGTAAAATACAAAAATTTAACATGTCAAATTTCATGCTTCAAGTCGTGATCAAAATCGTAGTACATACGTGCATCCACAAGTTAACATATCAAACATTTTTCGAAAACACTTTTTTCATTTCTACGTAATTCCAAATACACATTCCAACACGTAATAACTACCCCCCTTAAAATCATTAACCATATGTCATACCCACGTATACTTGAATATTTCAAAGGATCGAATGACAAGGGAATGCAACGGGGACAACCTTAGTCTTTGATTGTGAATAGTCTGAACTTTAGGGGTCTCTTGGGAAAGGGACCAAGAAGGAAGAAAAACCATACATGAAGTCGTTCAAAGATTTTCTTATGTGCTGCCAAAAACCCTTACTTATCCAACATCTCACCACCAAAATCACAGCACAATCCATGGAGAACTTGAATTTTACTTTTCGTTTGTATACTTATTTTGCTTTTGAGTTTGAGCGATCAATTTCTTGAATGTTGATGAACTTTGTTATATTTTTTTTCTCTTCTTTTGTTTTACTGAATGTTGAGCGTGTAAATAAGGTGAGAGTATAGAGAGACATGAGAATGAGTTATCTTAGAATTAGGAGATTAGGTTGAGACTAAGTCAAATAAGGAATTCTCTTAATTGTTAAAAATAACTTGATTTTTTTTAAAGGTTTAGAGAAATGACCACCAAGACCTTACAAAATCAGATAATAAGCATCAATTAAATCAACCTAACGAGTTGACGCTCCTCTTTAAATTAATTAATTAATTAATTGATTAAATATTTAGGGTAATTACAATACCATCCTTAGCTTGGAAAAGACCATTATACCCCTAGATCCTCAAAACATAAGATTAGCTCTTTTAAGTTCGGTAAAACTCATCCGGGTAAATCACTCCAATTGGGGTTACCTACATGGTTGGTTCTCACCTTGCCTTGCTCAACTAACTCACCAAGTTTGTTGGCTTGGCAAATGCATAGGTTCTTAGGTCTGGTTCTACGCGCAACAAGCGGTGTCAACTCGGTCTAATCTTAGGCATTCGACATACATTAGACATCACTTATCATAGTCATTTTAGGGTTGTTACATAATCCCACCCCCTCTAAAGAAAATTCATCCTCGAATGACACTTCTAATTTTTTAGCACAATGCTAGTCACCTATTAAACATATGCATACCTACACAATTCAATGTTTTTTGTTGGTGAATATCTAATCACATATTAGTAGGTTGGTGCACATCCTTTAGACCTATTAGTTGCTTCGCACTAAAAGACTAAGGAAATCTTTCTTAAACTAGTCTTATCAAAGCATACAACATAAATAAACACATGCTTACCTAAATAAACAACCAACATGTTGACTCCAACATATTAACTTCATACTAGGTCATAAAACCATACAGATGAAAAACTAATTTAGGCTATACATCGGAGAAATCAACAAATGTTTCTTCCGCTAAACCCCTTGATTTTAGTGCGAAGAATCATTTCCTCCTTGGAGACTTTTCACTAGGACTAGTCGGATAAACTTTCTCATTCAATTTTTCTCGACCTCTCATATAAAGACAATCCTTCATCATGTGACTTGGTTTTCCTCAATCGTAAAAAGCTTTAGAGCCAATTATACACTCTCGTCCATCCAGTTTCCACACTTCCTACAAGGTGGCTTCTCGTGAGGTGTATCTACTTCATTGTTTCTCTTAACACTGGGCTCAGAATCGTTATCATAGCGACCCTTGGATGAACTTGACTCCCCTTGGTGGAAGAGTTCCTTTTTAAACCTGGGCTTATCCCTGATTTCAGTACTACTCTTCCTTTATAAATTCTCCTCATCTTGCCTTGAACCATTCCCTGCCCTATTGTGCTTCTTCTTCCTACTTTCCTCCACTTGCTGGACATTGACCGTAAGCCTTTAAAGGTCCATCCTTTCATGCAACATAACTGCCTTACAGTCCTCTTTCAAATCCTCTAAGATCCCTGTAAGGAACCTGCTCATCTCGTCCCTGCTATTTAACACATGTGAAATAGAATACCTTAACAAATTCATAAATTTCAAGGAATACTCCCTGAAAGTCGTTGAGCCCTGATTAAGGTTGATGAACTCCTTAACCATAGCCTCTTTCCTCTCCCTTGGTAAGAATCTCAAGGAAAGCTGTTTTAACCAGCTCCCATGTTACCGGACCTCTGCCCAAAGCTCGGCTATCCTGCCACATCTTACACCAGGACTGTGCAACATCCTTGAGCTGGTAGGAAACCATCTCAGTCTTTTCATTAAATATGGCCCCCATAGTCACCAAAATCTTCTACACCTCATCAAATGTGGATCCTCTGTAGTCTTAGACCTTGTCAAAATGGGTGGATTAATCCTCGTGAAGTCTCGTAATAGGTATGCCATGCTACGTGGTGGTGGGTTCTTCCATTGAACCTCCTTCCAATTGGCCAGGTTCGTCATAGCCTAGGACTACATAGTGATAGCTTGAGCCATCTGTGCCAAAGGGTCTGCACCTCCGCATCAGTCAATCCAGCTAGTTTACTTTACATGAACACTCTTAAAGCTTTAGCATGGGGTGGAACTTTGTTTTCCCCAGCAGCTGCTTCTCCTTTCCCCCAACAAGTGTTCTTTCTTGTGTTTATTTTCTGAAAAAGATAAGAATTGTTGTCAAACATGCTCGTAAACCAAAAAATCAGTCATTAGAGATGGCACTATAAGCTCAGAATAAGAGAAATTTCATGTGTATCATGCATTCTCTAAATTTGGATAGTGGTGCACTTCGCTAACATGACTTAGAAACTACTCTATGTTGTTGATGTTAACTTATTACCCTCGGAATTCAACCTAACGCTCTGATACAAA